AGAAATACCAGCTCATACTTTTCTGTTTGTTGGACTGGTGTTGTCTTGGTTGTGACATATAAAACATGATGAAGAGACTCAGCAGTGTTCATTGACAAACGTTTCTCTGTTTGACACTGTGCATGTCCTCAGATTGTCTTCTACGAGGACAGAAACTTCCAGGGCCGCTCCTATGAGTGCAGCAGCGACTGCGCTGACATGTCCTCCTACTTGAGCAGGTGTCACTCCTGCAGGGTGGAGAGAGGCTGCTTCATGGTGTACGACCGCACCAACTTCATGGGCAACCAGTACTTCCTGAGGAGGGGCGAGTACGCTGACTACATGAGCATGATGGGAATGAACGACTGCATCAGATCCTGCCGCATGATCCCCATGGTAATCACATCACTTTATGAGACAAAACCACTGAAAGTGAAGTGAACTCTGAGTAATGTCCGTTGATTTATTAGTTACTAATGATCATTGATGGCTGATGTGTTCCAGTACCGTGGCTCCTACAGAATGAGGATCTATGAGAGGGAGAACTTTGGAGGCCAGATGTACGAGCTGATGGACGACTGTGACAACATCATGGATCGCTACCGCATGTCCAACTGCATGTCCTGCCACGTGATGGACGGACACTGGCTGATGTATGAGCAGCCCCACTACAGAGGCAGGATGATGTACATGAGGCCTGGAGAGTACAGGAGCTTCATGAACATGGGCATGGGCAACATGAGGTTCATGAGTATGAAACGCATCATGGACTCTTATTATTAGAGTCAGCATGGAAACAGTGAACAGCATAAATAAAGTTTAACATAAGTGAATAAACCTTTCTGTCTAGTGCATTGATTAAGAGGCTGAACTATCAGTGATCATCATGATGAAACTTGATCTAATGTGTTAGGGGAAGGATTAGCCCGTCCCCTCCACTGAGGGGTGGGAAATGCACAGGGCTTCACCCCTGTGTCCACCCTTCCGCGGTCCCAAAATGACCAAGCTTGGTCTTGTTGGGGTCGAAAGTTATAGGTTCGACCATGGGAGCAACCCCTCATCCCCTGGCGAACCAACTACATCCTCTCCACTGGCATGAGCCATTACTGGCACTGAGAGAGATTGCTGTGTTTTTTTTTAATTTTGTATATATAAATAAATAAAAACAAACTAAATATTTTCTAAATAATAAAACTAAAAAATCTTGTTCAAAAAATAGTTTTTTTCTTTTTACGTTTTTGAAAAACTAACTAAAAATGTGCCCAATTGCAAAGTTTCGGCACCTTACTGTCTTCTTCAGGCTAAGGGTTAACCCTAAGGATTAACCCTAAGCCTAACCCCTAACCCTAAACCCTAACCCTAAACCCCCGAAACCCGAACCCTAAACCCTAAACCCTAACCCAGAACCCTAAACCCCCTAAAACCTAACCCAGAACCCTAAACCCTAACCCTAACTCCTAACCCTAAAAATTAAAAACAACCCATCACTCTCAAGGCCAGGAATGGCTTATGCCAGCGGAGAGGATGGGTGGCAGCTGGTTTGCCGCGGGAGGAGGGGTCGCCCCCGTGGTGGAACGTATGACCGACCCCAACAAGACCAGGCCTGGTCACTTGGGGACTGGGGGGGGATGGACACAGGGGGGAGGGCCCGTGCAATTCCCGTTCCCCAGTGGAGGGACGGGCTAACCCTTCGCCTAACCCTAACCCGGGTTAGGTTAGGGGATTTATCTATAGCCAGGGCTGGACCCTGGGAAGGTAAGTGCACTCGCACCAACGAGGTTGCCAGAGGCCCCCACTGGCCACCACCCTAAGGTGGTGGGTTTTTCAAAAAAATTAGGCTACTTACCTTTTTAACAAGCCTTAGTGCTATGTTTCGGCTTGTATTAGCCATCTTCAGGCGGGCTGATTAATTTAAGAGAGCCTAGCCCGACTTGGCTTCAAGGTCTCTCTAGCACAAGGCCTTTACCTTACCCCTTCCCTTTCCTTTTCCTTTTCTCCTTTGCTCCTACCCCGCCTTAATTCCGGCCCTTTTATATTGTTTAGCTCCATGTTAGTATTCTTAAGTTATTCATTTTAAGTTATAACCCCCTAACCCTAACCCCCCCTTCTAACCCTAACCCTAACCCCCCTTCTAACCCCCTAAACCTAACCCTAACCCGTCGAGTAGTCTCCGACTGCAACAGCGAGACCTATAGATCGGCAGAATTCATTGATTATTGCTTAAACCCACTAGCTAAAAACATAAAAGCTATATAAAGAACACCTATGATTTTATAGAAAAAATGAAAAATGTAATAATCCCCACAGATGCCATTTTATTTACAGTCGATGTTGACAGCCTATAAACAAATATAGAAACAAAAGAAAGCATACAGGCAGTAAAAGAAATATTTCAAAACAATTATGCTAAAATTCAACCCGACAAAGAACTATTAAAATTATTAGAAATTAATCTCACCAGAAATGACTTTGAATTCGACTGTAAATTCTATTTACAAATTAAAGGAACGGCAATGGGCAAGAAATTTGCGCCGACCTATGCCGACATCTTTATGGCCTTGGGAGACGGCGGCTTTAGATAAATGCAGCATCA